AGGGGAGGGGGGGGGAGGATGTTATAAACAAATTTAAGATTCCGTATAAATTAACGAGAAAAATTCTAGTTTTTTTTTACTTGCAAAAATTGGAATAAATAAAACCCGACTGCTGAATACGAATTAATTCGTTTTCGCATACATTTGTAAATTGTATAATTCTAATCGAAACATGTATATTGAATATATGCATATTATTTCTTAGGTTATTTCAATGTTTCTTGTAATCTTACAAATTCAGCAGAATATGTATTCAACAAAATTTGCTTTTCAAGATATTATATGCTGTAGTAATCAAGATCATCTGAGATGAGCTTGCATTAAAATATTATTTCTATAAAATAAGAAAGAAGGTCACTAAACGTGTTTAGCTAACATATATCATTCGTAAATATTATTAGTATTTTAAACAAAAATAAATAAAAATCATTAAAACTGCGTCAAAAAATTACATGTAATTAATGAAAAATCGAACATTCTCTATTAGCGACACCTTTTCGAGATATCTAGAAGCACGATTCAACTCGATGGATACACAGATACTTCTGGCTCACAACTTGTGAATACAGTACGATTATGCATCAAATGATAATTTACCGACAGTGTGTAAAACTAGACGCGGTTGTATGCAGTTAAAACTAATATAGGCGGCGATATTGACCAAAATTCACGTCTCAAGAAGAACACCTAAAATGGCCGACATCAGACTTCTTTTTGTTAATAACACATTAAATATATGTTCAAAAAATTTTTCATCAATATATCATGAAATTGATACACATTACAATAAAGCTACTTCTAATTTGTGTTAATTGCTTTCAACAAGCTAGCCAGATTGCTATCAATGCTAGAAATGCTATCAAATATTTGAAATTCAAAGCAAAAATTTATGACTATTAAATGGGTTCAATTGTCTTAGAAATATTAGAGAGCTTTAACGTAGTCGCTCTTCAATAGCATCACAACGACTATGCATTTAGAGAGACACATATTTGAAATATGAATGTAATAAATTATATTAATCTATTGATTAAAACATACCTCACTATTGAGCGTCAATTGCACTTTCGCTGAATTTTGGCAAGAAAAATGTCTTAAGATATACAAAAAAATCTCAACCGACTCCGATTGCATACGTGAGTCACCGATGCCGACATCGTGATATCGGAGCATAATATGCGCACATTTAACACATCATCACGAACGTTTAATACTTTATGAGAGAAATTCATAATAATTTTTCGACTTTTCACGTTTGAGTAATAATAATCGCGAAAAATACGGAACGATTAGAATGCAACTCCGCGACGTGTACGCTGCATTCTGCAACTAACATCTATTTGAAACCCAAGTCGTCGAAGTGAACCAATTACATCATAGTGTAGTTAGATATGTTCGTTTTATTTGCACTTAACATGAAAAGAATATACATTCAGCTTTTAGAGTGAGAAAGAGCCAAATAGAAAAGTGCTTGCTAAATAAGCAAGTCAGAAATGATCAAACTAATAAATTACTATGAAATATATAATCGAAGTAGCTAAATACACAACAATGCATATAATTGTAATTCTGATGTGTTATTCTGACGTGTTATCATAAAATTATGCATATATTTCAATAATGAGCAAAGAATTGTACTCACCAGCTAAAGTATTTATAGCTGTTTATAGTTTTATGCCCTCCTGCTGTAAATTTCGTCTTGAACGTTGAAGCTCCATCGAAGACATTTGATGAATATCAAAAACCACTCGCTATGAGAATATATCCGCGCACTTCACTTTTACTTTTTACGGATTCAAATCGCAAATCACGTTATAATATACGAAAAATATTTGATCCTATAACATGTTCATGCATATAATTGTAATTGTTCGTTATTATCTTACATATTTTGTCAATTTTGCACTGTATATACATTGAGAATGAGATAAACGAACGACGATCGCCTTGGCAGTCACAATATTGTCCACGCATTCAGATTGAGCGAGGCGAGTGACAAATGTTTTGGTTTTGATCCTCATAAATGGACGTAAGGATCATTTCCGCGTAGCAACAACATTGAAATTTGTACTCACTGCGATATATTTTCACAACGCGGTATAACACCAGTTGCACAGTACAGCGTCGTGATCGTCGAAACGCTGTTAATCATGAAGATCCGGAATAAATATGTTCCAGGAATCGTCCCGCCATCTTATCGACATTCTGGGCCAAAATTTGTACTTGACACGCACTGAGGACAAATAAAAGTTGTGATAAATCATGAGCTATTTACGCTCCGCGTTCCGACCGACAGAATAACAGACTATAATGGCGCCGATGATATCAAAACGCAACAATTGAGAACCCGCATCATGTGATGCGCAGAGCCACTTTGCGCAGCATGTACATGCAGAAGATTCGGCGCAGAATAGCTCTGCGCATTACATTTTGGGAGTTCTCAATTGTTGCGTGCAAGCCGCGTCTGCATTCCGGTATCATTAAATGGCGCCAAAAAGCGACACCTATATCATAATTTTTGAAAAAGCGGATCAATCACTGAAAGCCACCAACGGCGGGTTTTTCAAATTAAATTTCCGTAAAATCAGGTTTTAATATTATCTCATCGGCGTTTATATAAATTGTTCTAAAAACAAATAAAAAATAAATCATACATAATAATATATAGAGTACACACAATCTTTTATGTTTTAAAAATATATCTCAAATCTTAATCTAATTATATAACTATGGAAAGAAATGCGAGAGTATCTCACACTTTAAAATTGTGTATTTTCAGTACCAAATATCCAATACATTTTGTTCTTACAGTTACAATGCAAAACTTAAATAGTTTTAAAATTGGCATCCCAACAACAACAAAAAGCATTATTCAAATCAAGAGTATATGTGATTTCAATTAAATACAATAAAGTTTTAACAACATTACAGTAATCCAGTGAAGCACCTGCTATTTAAAAATAAAATCATGTTGGTTAAAAGATATACACCGACAACATCGTACGTATATTATTACACATTATCATCGATTCAATGAAATTTACCAGTAAATGCATACAAACATCTTGCATGTATCAATCAGCTGTTAAAATTAATGAATAATAAAAGTATAGATTAACGTAATAGCTTGCAAATTACGCTGCTATAACTATTACTATGTCGTATCGCGGTGAGTTACATCTAATGAGTTAATCTAATATTACAAACTAACGGGGGACGATAGTTAAATGGACGAGTTAAAAAATCAAAGATATAAGTCGACTAATGGCGCTCAACTTATGTTTAACTACTTGTAGCAAGTATTGTTTCTAATCTCTTATGTCTGCTCTTCTCCTTGAAACTATACCAGCCAGCTTCTCCATTCCTATAGGCATTCCTTGAATCTGTAATCAGGATGACTCACTGCATCATCATTTAAAATTTTTTCATCAAATTCACAACTTTCTTAGCAATAATGTCGAATTACAAGCAGTAAAAATGTAATTTTCAGCGAATTAAGCTTTAGGATTGAAAGTATGTAGCAATTCTTTCTCTTCTTTCAATTTCTAAATACATTTTAATAGATTTGTAACTTTAGGATTAGTAACACGATATTTGATTTAGAGACTGAAAATTTATAGCAAGTAATGTGTTTCATCGCCCTTAATTATGTATGATTATTTCGTCAAAGAATTACTAATTAAATGCGTCGATGATGAGGCATCCTGTATTTCATTGGCGACTGGAACATGAATATCATATATAAGTTCTGTGTAAAATAAATGTTCACAATTCCATAGCAATAAATCAAACGAGATTGTTTGGTTTGTCAAAAATAACGCTTTTCAATGCGTTCGATTACGAAAATGCGATTCAAATATCGAACCAAAATATTTAGATTAATAGATTAACATCCAACCGTCTTAATTCGTTAATTCGTCTAACAGTATTGCTACATTATAAACGCAGAATGCAAATGTTATGATAAGCTTATGATAATTAGAGGACAGTCTTCATAATGGCTTAGGAACTATACATATATATTATCACGTAAACTGTACTTTATGTATATATAGACGTATCTCAGATTGATAATTTATTATTCTTAAATTTGGCATCTCGATTAAGAATTTTACCCGAAATTATATGAATGTAACGAATAACAGACTATCCAATTGGCAAATTATTCAATTGAAAATTGTCGTACAATCAACTAACAATAAGCATATGTGTACAGTTCATATGTTCTCAAAATCACACATATAAATCCTTAAGTTTTAAATTCGCACACGTACATAATGTAGACGTATTACATGGGAGACGGAAATGAAAACGCACATTGCAATTCTAGTTGCAAAATTCATTTATTTTGCTCTACTAATGCAGTCAAAATTCAGAGAGAACAAAATTTATTAATTCATTCTGTACACAGTGCATGTCTTTCAGGATTCGTATTATCTAAGAAACATATATAAGATATCATCGATCGCGTAATCGATGTGTTTAAATAGTAAATTAGAACAAACCAAACCAAATCGTTAGCGTTTTTACAATCTACCGTACACACATTGATATTTGTGATAACATCGAAAGACAATGATTATGAATGAATAATCTATTTTCAGGGAAATGTAAAGCAATTTGCTGAAAATATAAAAAAAAAAACACAAGAGAAAATATACGATGGAGCGGGCTTGTAGGAACAGTTGTTTAAAAATGGAGATCAAGCATTAACTGAATGCTAAATTTAGAAATATTTTAAATTACGGATAAAGGAAAACACATTTAAAATTATGAATTTAGTGTATTAAAATGCTTAGAACATTAAATTAATATAAATAGGTAAATTTCCAACATAAAAGATTAATATAAAAAGAATTAAAAAACTGTAGGAATAAAGTTTAATATTTTTATCCATCAATTCAACAGAGTTCTCGAATTTAATAGAAATATATTGGTTTTGAATTGTTAAAATCAAAATTAGAAAGAGCAAAAAATCAAATTTTCTATAAATCAAATATAATACATTAATATATTTTTAGTTAATAATATTCCTCTAAATTTGAAAATTGATATTGCTATTACTGTTCTTGTAAATTAATAAAATCAATTTAATAAATTTATAAATATTTTTAAATATTTTGACTTAAAAAATTTGTTAATATTTGATTTCCATTCTTCCAGCAGGGACACTATCTTTAAAAGTTAGCGTGAGAAAGTATCGATAAAGTTCTTATGTCTCCTCTACAATTATATTGATGTATTAGAGATAGTATAGCCAATGAGTTACACAAACAATAATATTGATAATGAATACGAGGTTTTGTTAATAGTCCTATGTTCGATGGATTTTGTTCGATCGTCTCATTCGTAATCTTAACGCTTTGAAAAGAGTATCCGGTAAAGTAATTGTGAGTTACAATCGTAAAAGCAATATTCCGGGATTCTCTTCTCGATTTTCGCCAGAGTCGTAATTGGTAAATCTATCGAAAAATCACGAAGCTCCGCAATGACGTAACACACACACACTGTCCTAGAAACATAATTACTTAGTAATAGGAAGATTGATATGGATATTTAATTGAACCATTTTTTGTCGTAGCGTAATAAATAATGAGGCAGTGTGTTACATCGAGTTTTTAGTCGCCCATAGTCTTGTATACGAATTAAGATCTTTCCTTCCTCGTATCTGGAACTTGTCAAATTTGTTAAACAATCGCTAATATTGATGCATCTAATACAGTTTGCATGATAAAGTTTTATAAAAGCCTAATTGGAAATTTTATATTCTAAAACTTCAAGTCAAATGCAAGTAAATAATGGCAGTATATGCAAATTTCTAAATATAATTTTTTTATATGTATTTCAATGAAATGCTAGTCATTGACATGATTACCATGACATTGAATGTATTAAAAGAGATTACACGAAGAACACGCGGGGTGATCTGAGATTTGAGCGTGACTCGCACTCGAGCGTGTGATCAAGATGTGCACTTCGGCTTTCTCAACTATCGACGCAAAACAGTAGTATGAATGATATGGAGATGATGATTTAGGCGATGTCGTGAAAGTCAGCCGAGAAAGGCCTCAAGCATATCGTCACCTCACCCTCGAGTCTTAATTTGTGTCATAACGATGGCAGTTTATCGGCTTTCATGGTATGCAATGATATCAATAATCAGTCGATGACAGGAAAATCAGACAGGAAAAGTCTGAGTTTGTATCGTCTCTTTCTATCATTTGGATTTCTCAGTCAACCTGCACGATTGGTGCAACCTTCCCGTTTTCATTCTTTTCATAGATCAATCTCTAAAAATCACTATTAAAACATGCATATACAAGCATATATTCGATGGAATAAATAAATTATTTCGGTCATGTAAAAATCATTCGACCACTGATCTCAATCGTTGTGCCTCGAAGATCTTGGCATTAAGTGCAATGACGAGGCGGAAAAACGAGAGTTTGGCTACTTCCGAGACGAATGATGTAATAGCGAGGATGATCGTCGCAAATATCGAACCGTCTACACCTCTTCGAAGAAGACGACTTACAAATAAAATATATGCGAGGTCTGTCAAGAGTATATATATTGTAAAATATCAAATTGTGTTTGCTCAGTATCGGTTTCCCGTTCGCTTTGTTATACGCGTACTTGCGTAGACATTTGAGACACGTCGTGTTCCTTTCATCGCGGTCTCCCTAGCATAGTCGGCGAACGTAACATAAATGAACGATGCGAAATCGTCTATCGATCTATAGAAATCTCCGCCAGTGATCTCGACTAGACGCGGGCATGCTATATCCGAATAAAAATAATAATCGCAACGGAATATCACCAAACAAAGACAATCGTCTTCGCGCATTGATAACAACGAATCGTTTCGGGAGAGAACCTATTTCTATCAATATTCACATTAAAATCACAGACAATTTAAGGAATGGACATAATGAATAACAGTAAACGTAATAATAATCAATTCTATGCCGAAAACGCGATCCCATTTTAATCGCTATTGTTATTTTCTAATATAATGTTTATATGTGCGGTTTAAAACCATATTGAGCATCACAAAAATGCGCAAAAGTCTACGCGTAATAAATTTATATTACTATATTGTAATTTAAGTGAAGTAATCGATACAAAATTACAATGTTCGATTTGCTATCGCTTATCCACTTGGATTACATTTAAGCGCGATGATGTAATAAGCATTACGCGTGGACTTTGCATCTATCAATTTACAGGAATGACAGAGTAAATCTACGAATCGATATGCTCTTCCGCGAGTACTTTTTTATCTTTTCAAATCTCGTCACAATTCAATATAGAAGAGAGTGGATCTAATTGGTTACGTAACATCAATTATAATCACCGGGTCAATTTAATCAAGTAACCAATTTAGAATCATTCGCCTCTAAAATCGATTCCAAATTAACTTGCACAATAGAATATCAAAATAAAAGTTTCAAACATTTCGACAAAATATTTCGCGACATAACTCGTTATCGATTACGTATTGTAACGTCCATTATGAAAAAGAAAATGACATTATGCGAACCATGTTAGGCAGACAAACGATGGCAGAAAGCGTATCGATGCATAAAAGCCCTATGATTAAAAAATTTCTAATTATCTTCTACAACAAAAACGCAATGAGCAAAACTTAACGCAATCGAGTGAATATTACTGCGCGATGTATCCACAGTAATTATAATATTTAGATACGAAATGCATTGTTTTATCAGTTCTCAAAGTTAAATACGTTGTGTGCGATGAAAGTCCATGATATAATCTAAAGGCCAGAGACTGTTCAAGGCGTTGCAAATTCAGTCTTAAATTAATTAGTCAGTTTAATGATTATAGCAGTAAAATAAAACATCGATTAGTTAATAATATATGTATATCAAATCGTCAAGAAAAAAAAAACCAAAGAAGAAAGTCAGACTTCGAACTGCGAAATTTATTTGGCACAGATGTAATCGATATTTTAACATACTGCAACTATATTGGGATCCTATCCTATTAGTTTTCACGTATAATCGTTCTGTTTAGGCGGTATAAAAGAGACGTCAATATATGTCGTGTAAAAAGTAATAGTAGCGCTGGAAAAAAGATTCTCAAAAACATCTATTACGACCGATGACGTTCGATTACTTCTAGACCGATCACGCGCGAAATTACAGCTAAGAAAGTTTTGCAAGTTGAATCGTCATAGGTCACTGTCTTCCCTCATAAAAATCGTCAATAATCGAAGATGAATCATTATTAGGGAAAGCACATGTGATTGGAACTAACAATATAAGTCGACTTTCACGATATAGGGAACGTAATTCAGTATATATACGAGTCAACATAAAACACTAACGATATCGATGTCATACGAATAGAAACAGCCTGTTTCGCCACCAAAAAGAGTAAAATGTACAGTTATATCGTGGTACCTAAGAAACAATCAAATCAAATCTCAAGCGTCTTTCGTATCATCCTGCTATTTCTTTTTTCCCCTTTAGTTATAGTCGCCGAAACGAACGGTAGTTTTACGAACTACATCTTAAAGTAACGACGTCGTTGACGCGGTACGATTTACGTAAAGTATATGGAATCAATTTATATCAGTTTATACCTGCGAATAAGTACTTGTGGATTGGGGTTATGCATGAAGGGCTCCTTAAACTGTATAAGAACAAAGTTAAGACGTCGCCGCTACAACTACAGGAGGAACAACGTCGGGTTCTCCGGCACCGTCAGCTACGGTGGAATCGACGACCTTTTTAACTTTTATAGACTCGGCACTATTTTCTGACGAACTTTCCGGCTCACCGTTTTGCGCTGCCGCCTCCTTGCTCGTCGTCTCCTTCGATGACCCTTCGTTCAGTCCGTTACTATGTAATTTGCCATCCAACACTGGCACATCTGTATCTCCGTTTTGCGTGGTTCCGTTAAGCTTTTGCTTTTCCGAGTCCACTGTATTTTTGTCCTTCGCGTCTACCACATTCTCTTCTTTCACTGCCGCTGCCGCCGCTTCCTCTTCCTTCATTGCATCCTTCGTAGGTTCGTTTTCACGTTTCTCAGCATCAGTTGCTACCGTTTCCTCCGCTTTTATGCCTTGGGGCGTCTTTTCATCCGCCTTTTCGGATTCTGCGACTGTTTCCAAACTTTTCTCCACGGGTGTTTCAGTCGTTGCTTCTTTTTTAACATCTGTCGTACTGGTTGTTGCTTCCGTGTCTGTTACCTTTGGCGGTACTGTGGTTTTTTCCACAGCTGGCTCTGTAATCTCACCATTTTCTGCCGCAGTTGTTTCCATTTTTGTTACTTCTTCTTGTTCACTCTTTGCTAAAATATCCTTGCTTTCAGACGTGCCGGAAACAATCTTTGATTTTTCTTTAACCTCCTCCTTTTCCGTTTTCAAGCTTTCTTCAGGTTTATCATTTTTGTCACTAGTTTGTGACTGCGGTCCGTCATCTACCTTTTCGTTACTTTCAACCTTTTGAGTTTTATCGGCTACTTCAGCCTGGGCATCTTTCGCAACGTCTATGGAGTCTTCAGTCTTTTTCTCGGAAGACGTGGAAGTATTTTCAGATTTTGACACAGTCTCTGGCACAGATACATCCATGGAGTCATCGGGAGTAACTTCAGTTGCGGCTACATCTAAGTTATCTTCAGTCTTTTCTGGTGTGACTTTATCGCTGTCTTTTTTGGCTAACGTCGCAGCGCCATCCTTCATAGTCTGCTTCGCACCTTCAGAGGAACTTGTATCTTCAATCTTATCCTTAGATTTGGCATCATTTGATTCTGTAGTTGGAGTCTCACGTTCAGAATTTGAAGAATCTTTTTCAATCGCCACTGGTTCTTCCTTTTGCGCCGCGGAAGTCGAAGCATCTTCTGATAGTTGCTTCTTTGCACATTCCGCTTCTTCCGATTTAATCGTTTCCTTCGCATCGTTTTTTTCGACTTTTTTATCGCTGACGTCAGTCATTTCTACATCTTCAGAAGTATCCATTGGTTCACTGTTGCCAGTCGTACCTTCGTCAACTTTTTCATCCGTTGTTTCTAACTTTTGCCGTTTCGTAGATGTTTGAAATGTCAAATCCAAGAACGATTTAATAGTCGTATATGTAAGTTTTTCTTCATCAGTCAAAGCGGCATTACCCTCACGTACTACAATAACTGTTGATATACCTGCTTCCTTGGCAGCTGCGGCTTCTATAACGATAAGACAAAAAAGAATGAGTAAAGAAAAAATATCTGCAGATATCATTCAAATATGATGTAATAAACCCTATATGCAATATGATATATTTAATATACTTAGCTCGATATCAAAAAGAAAATTTACGAACCTTTTACAACATCAGTAAGAAAAACAACATTAGATGGTTTCTCGTCAATTTTACTTAATATGTTTTTATAGCTATCACATTCTTGCTTGGCACCTACTTCTGTATCAAAGAAACCACTGAAATACTGAAAGAAAAGGATATAAAGTTTAAATATTTCATCCAGGTATCTCATATTTTTAACATACATTGTACATTGTATAATTGCAGACACCTTACCTTCAGCAAATCGCCATTTATAGAATGTCCAAAAAGGAGCTTTTGCGCTTCAACACTACCGCTTGAGTAAACATATATTTTTCTCGCATCGTTCGTCCATAATTCAAATGCTTTCGGAACATCTTCATAAACACTAAATAAGATATACTTTTAAATCTTAACTATAAAAATATCTTAATATTTTTATCGATTTTTAGTCTTAATTCTTTAATCGATTGAAGCAATTATTTCATAATCGTATTCAATTCGAGAACTACTGTGCTAGAGAAATTGTTCATCCACAATTCAAATTAGAAACATACATCTTAAATAATAAATATATACTTTAAAGCTTAACGTTAGTAGCAATTTAATTTTTTTAATCAATTTACTATTCTATAGAATTAGAAATAAAGATAAATAAATAAAATTATTTGTGAAACAATATTTCCATGGTATACTTGTAGCTTAGAAAGAAAAATTTTAATATGTTCAATACCTATATTCATAAATTAAAATAATAAAAAATATCAAATTTAAAATACAAAATATAACCATCACAGAACTTTTGCCTATATTATTCAACATGATATATAGTCCTATATAAAGAATAAGTATAAGACAACTGAAGTGAGCCCAATACTACATATTCACCTCACTATTTATTGTGATATATATATGTATATATTATCTATAGCATATTATGTAAATTTTTATATAAATGCATGTAAAATGAGTAATGTTACTTTTATACCTAATCATATATAACTATTATCTCTAATATAATGTTACTTGTACAGAATTGCTAAATACTAATATGAAAGATCTTTAAGCATTATAGATTTTATAAAGACAATAGAAATGTGGAAACATATTGTAGATGAGATTGAACTTACTGAGCTTTAACTGCGCCTGTTTCATATGCTTCACGCCACATATGTCCTTGCAATTGTTTCAACGCGCCTGTTTTACGATCGTTATCCATTTGCCACAGAATGTTTTTTAAAAGCGAATCTTTCTCTTCTTCAGGCTTATCACCAGCAATTGCTACAAAGCCATCTAATTTATCTTCCTCATCCTTCTTTGCCTAAAAAAGGAGACTAGTAAACTATTGGTAATATTAATAAAAGGAAATAATAAAATATAAAACAATAAAATATACTATCCAAATATACCACTCAAAAAAGAAAAGAAATTATACAAAGTTATTTTCAATTTGTTCCATCTATAATCAGTACTTATAAAACAAACTTAATTATTGATGCATAACATAAAGAAATATAAATGTTTAGTTAATAAATATATACAATATATTAAGATGTAAAACATAAAATAATATCAAGTTTAATAATAGACACAAAGAATGTTGATATAAACCAAGATATTCAAAAGATAACTATTAACATTGCCAAGGAAACAGGAAAGGATAAATATATTTTATGCTCATCTGTTATTAATATTAGATAAATTCTGTGTTATAAGAATAAAATATAATCATTTCTTATAGTAACATAATAAAGTTGTACCTGTAAATGGTTAATTTATAAGTATTTTATACAAAATTCACCAGTTTTCAATTTTTATATTATTTTTTATATTATTTTTATATTATCAGCATAATTATACTAAATTAATGCTCTTTTGTGATAGTATTATCTAACACATTTTAATGCAAAAGAATTTGAACTGAAATCTAATAATAAAATTCAATCCATCAATTTTTTTTTTTTTTGCTACGGTGTCACTTATGAAAATTATTATTCTTACATATTACTCAAAATTTGAATTCAAAATATTTGTTCTTTAAGTATATGTATATTAAAAAAAAAATAACACTCAAGACTTTAACACAATGCATTATATACTACTATTATATATTTATCTCACAGTTTCAAACAAAGACATTTATGTCTCACTCCCGATTATGTTCTTCATCCTGTAAAACTGGTTGGAATCAAAATCTCATATTTACCTGCTCCTTTAACTTTTCATAGTCTTGTTTGAACTCCTCAACCTCCCATTTTGTTTCAATATAATTTTTCAAATTCTGACGCACATAGGGGAAGAGGGTTTCCTGCAAGGAAAAAAAACAAGCCGTGCATGAGGATCACCTGCCGTCGTGAATTGTGACGGAAAACGTTCGCCGGGAAAAATCGAGCACGCGTGTTCCGTTGTTCCCGGCGGCGTCTCGACGCGCCGCGTCAATATACATACCGCGACCGATATCTATAAAAAGATTGCAGCATTTGTTTTTAAGCCCGGTCGTTATAGATCCGAAATCAGCCGTTCTCGACCAAAAATATGTCTTATTTTTTCTTCAGTCGAAAATTCGAACCGTCGTTTAAATTCTTTTCGAATCGCGATTGGATTCACAAACACGAAGGTGGTGGTGGCGGCGGCTCGTGGTCGAAAATTCGCGATTCGAGCCGGCACACCGCCCCGACGCGAGGACAATAACCCATCGCGAAATTCGACCGCACATATACTTGTGCGATAAGGAGGAGATGAGCCTCTTGCGAAGACCCGGATAACTTTCCCGGCAGAGTGCGAGTTCACGAAATATTCATCCAGAAAGTTCACGACCGGACCGCCCAAGAATGGAGCGGTACGAATTGATACGGCACGATGCAGCCGAGTTACGAGACGCCGCCTCGCGTTATCGCTAACGCTCTGCTTCTTTGCCTTTGTACTTTACCTTTACGAAGCTGATGCTCGTGGTGGTGCCCTCGATGTCGACGAGCACCGTCCTCGCGAGTAAGGTCTCATCTTGATCCTGGCTGCGCTTTTCCCCGGCCATTTCCACGAACGACTCGCCCACGACCGTAGGATTAATAGCGGTGTATCTATATGTATGATGTTCCCCCTCGGTTAGGTTGGCGCTCTCACGCTGTGTATGTCGGCGACGACGCGTTCTTGTTGGGAGCCGGCGAACGAATTCGCTGTTGGCCGTACGCCAATGTATACGTGCTATGTGTGCGCGTGTGAATTTGCGAGTCCCCTCCGCGCACGGCCCGCGCCCTGCTATGCCCGGTAACCAGATCCGTATCGATGTTTGTCGGGTGCCCGGACGTTCTTTCGGTCCGCCAACCTAACCTTCCGGAGAAAGTAAAGTTTTGAAGCGCTTTCAAAAAAATGCGTGAAAAATGTTTGAAAGGTTATATTATCTTGATATGATATTTTCAACTAAAATTCACGTCGATACGATTGATAATCGACACGGGCGAATAACCGACTGCGTCGGTTTTTTCAGAGACGGCCTCGGGTTCTGCGATAACTCGCGACGAGTTTGCATCGAATACGAAACCGCGGCCCGTATCGGCGCGTAGACGGTATACCAGTGTGTGTACTGCGAATCGCTCGCTCCCCCTCGAGTACGTCCGATGAACGGTCTTGCCGTGTACAACCCTCCTACCTTCGAAAAAATTATATGCCGGCGAATCTCGCGAAAAATGATATATTTCGCTGAGTTTTCGCAACACACTGGCGTGAAAATTTGCGCTGTTCCCTCGTTGCTCTCAGCTGCGACAAGAAATGATCGATTCGGCCGAAATACTGTTCGAATATCGACTCGGCGGCGAACCCCTTGCTGATATTACTCCGCGAGAAAGTAGTTCCGTCGTGTGTTATTTTTCGCTGGTTTTCGAAAAACAGCACGTGACTCGGTGAACTTTGATCGCTTCATTTGAAATATTGACATTCTCATGGTATTCTACCGCGATCTGGAATGCAAAATAAGCGTTTTGCCATTGCAACTGACGATCGAGAATTCGTCTCGATTGTGTGGTCGCTCATGGACGAGCATGGATGACCACCTGATTTTTGCGCCAACGTCGCGTCCATTTAAATTTCTGCGTAAAACGCACACGATAGTAGCCATTTAAATTTAAATGACGGCGACCACGCTGCTTTATTGTTTCGGCAATGTTGTGCGATACGAATACACAAATCATGCATGATTTGACCACCATAGCACTTAAATATTAATAATATTAAGATATTACTGTGAAAACTTTTTGATTATTCTAAATAAAATAAAAATATCGGTATTTGATTACAAAAATGTGGAATAGATCTATTGTTAAATCTAGTAATTACACATAATATATGTAAAATTTATCATTACAATAAAAATTACAAATGTGCATATTCATATTCATAAAAGAATACATTAAAAGTATAATATATTCTTATTATGAACATATTTTATATTTATACAACTATATATTACACATTTACAGTCAATATGAATATACATATATATGTTATAATTATATCATAATATGCATATATTATAATATATGATAATATACATATATTATAATATATATATGAATGATTACAGTCATTATAAATGAATCAAAATTCAAAGCAGAAATAATGTAAAGACATCATTAATCATATAAAAAAGAACCCAATTGTATTATATTAAAAACAATATAAATGCAATTATAAATTATTTACTTGACAGTTGTTTGAAATTCACTTCATATTTACTTGAAAAATATCAGCTTTAAGAAAAAATTGTCACTAATCAATTACGATTATGCCATATTAAATAATTATATAACATTATTTTACTCCAGTTCGTGAAACGCATCGTGTTATTCGCAATAATTCATTCAACTTTTCGCCGAGATGTTTGTTCAGATGAATTCTGACTTCCTGCTGACTGTTGTATTTTTCTCTACATTCTGGACATTTCTCGGTTATACCCTCTCCGTGTTCCTTCTTGCGGTGTTTTGAGCGATTATTGTAGGTGGAGAATGACTGGTCACAATCTTGGCACTGGAAAGGCTGTTCATTCGTATGCTTCCGACGATGAAGATCCCTGGAGTCTTTTCGTCTAAAACTCATATCACAATACTCACACGAGTATGGCTTTCTACCAGTGTGCAGTAAAATGTGATTGTACAGAGACTTGGTGCCACTAAATCCTTTGCCGCATTGAGCGCATTTGTACCGCTTTTCACCGCCATGCTTGTTCTTGATGTGAGTTATCAGCATCTGCTTGATCCTAAATGTGGCTTTGCATATGTCGCATTCAAATGTCGGGTTTGTTCTGCCTTCATGTACTTTTTCTTTGTGTGCCTTGAGCGACATTTGATGCTTGAATTTCTCATTACATTCGTTGCACTCGTGCAATGGTTGCTGACTTGTTACTAAAGGATCTTTACGACCAATCTGATGTAATTCCGACATGTGGTTCTTGAGAAGGCGATATGTCGGTAAACCCTCATTGCACAAAGGACACGTAAACAATCGAGGTAATGATATGTTCTTGTCCATCTTCCAATGTTTCTCCAGATGCTCGTTCATGTTCTGCTTTTTACTATACGATTTGTTGCATATGTTACAAATATGTCGATTGTTGGAGAAATGACTTTTCCTGTGACCCTTCAGTGCATTAACAGTCATACAACGCAGACCACATACGTTGCACTGATAAGGTTTCTCGCCTGTATGCGTTCGAAGATGTTCCTTCAATCGGGCTTTGATTTGATAAGACTTTCCGCATAGCTCGCAAATATGCGGTCTGGCACCTTTGTGCACAAAGAGGTAATGTTCATACAAAGAGTTCTCCGCACTAAATTCGTTGTTGCATGTACTGCAGACAAACTCGTTCATGTTTTCATTATGTCGCATCTCATGGAATTCGAGTCTCTCCTTGCGTATGAAACGTTTAGGACACATCGAACATTGATATTCCCGCCGGGAAATCGCTTTCGCTTCATATCCATCAACCATCAATGATAGAGTGGAGTCCTCGCAGGCGGCGCATGTTATCAGATCATTAATAGCATCTGGATCTAAATCTATTGTTATCGATTCTCCACAGAGACTACAATTTACAGCACTTTCCTCCTTTTCGGCAGCGTTTGTGGCTTCATTGGCACTTGTCTCATTTGTATCCATCTTATAGTCTTTCTCTTTGGTGCAAATATCCTTAGCAGTTGTTTTTTTGTTTTTTCTAATCTTCTTTTTTCTTCCTTTTTGATGCAATATCTTTCTCTTTTGAAATGTAATGCCTTTTTGTGATACTGGCAAAGTTCCACATATTTTGTTGGTACTTGGTTTTTCATGGATAATATCACTGGCTATTTCTTGATTCAACAAAGATTCCTGTAGTTCATTTTCCACATTTGATTCCTTCCTATAGGCTCCATTAACAAGTTCCATTGTATCTCCTTTATATGCTTCATCTTGTATTGATGATTGTATATTTACAATAACCAGTGAAATTTGAAATGTATAATTACAATCATCTTCATGATTACTTCTTATTAAAATCATTAAATCTATATTACATTTTGGGCATGTATATATTACATCACTGTATAATTTGGATAACGTCATCATTTCTATTTTTTCATTCTCATTATCTTCAAGTAAATTAATATGTGCTGTATTAAGATTTTCTTTTGAGTGTTCTGAAACATTTTGAATAAAGTCATGATTGTTGATGTCTTCTTGTAACATTGGCGAGCTGTCTTGCATTTTATCAATATTTTGTTCATTATGGTTAGTAATGTCTTTGGCAATATCATTACATAATGATAAGTTATTCAATTTGTCTTCTACGTTTAATTTATTTCTACAAATTCCTTTAACGAGCTCCGTTGTATCTTCACACGCTTGTGCATTTTTTTCCAATATCAATTTTTCCGTTTGATCTACAACAATCAATGAAATATGGAACGGATAATAACAACCTTCAGGATTATTCTTTACTAAGATTTTTAGATTTATGTTGCAATTTGGACATGTATATATCATGTCACTATAGAGATTTGAAATTGCTGTTATTTCTATTTTATGATTTTCATCAACTACAAGTAAAGAGTTGATTCCTGCTGAGTTGATTCCTGCTGAGTTGATTCCTGCTGTATTATATTTTTTCTTAGAATTTAAAACAATATTTTGAGCAAATTCATAATAATTATTAATTCTTTCATGACAGTCCCAACATATGTATTCAGAATCAGCCTCTAGTAAGATCTGAAAAAAAATATATATAGTATTCAGACTTGTTTCTTGAAAAATAAGGATTATTTATTTATGTATGTATTACACATTTCTATATAAATAAAGAAGTTTGATTTATAAAAAGATGGCTGTAAATGCTGTTCAAAGAATGAATTAATCACTTAATATACAAAGTATTAGCGTACCTTGGTTGGTAACGTGATGATTAATTTTTCTTTCTGCGATACCTCATCAAAAATATATTCTCTTTCTTCAAGTTGAACACCACAAACATTACATATTAATGTATCATTTGCATCCGTTTTGGTATTTTTACAAATTGTATACAAAAATTCATCCATTTTGGTATTTTTACAAATTGTATACAAAAATTGTTGTTTTTTAAATATACAATTGTATTTATAATAAATATGTTTCCATATTTCTTTCAAATATTTATATCAGTAGATCCTTTTTTGAGGTTATAATTACCTGGCAAGAGAAAAATGTTTAATAATTCATAAATTTTACGTAAAGTAGATATCATTATATGTGCAAGTATTTACCAAAATTTAATATAATATATATTATATATACAATTGTAGCAAAGATAAATAATTATCTTTGAACATTTGCTTTGCAATTTCTTGATAAACATCCACCAGTATCGAAGAAAAGCGCAACTGATGCATAGCAGACGTCATCTTACGGTAATGCACGGTATTATGTAGTCAAATCATAACCTTCACGGTAATTTTAAAAGAAACTTACAATGATAAATTTTATAAAGTTTATATGCCAAATTCTATTTAAATTCTATTTAAATAATAGTTACAATAAAATAAATTTATAACTCTAAACATTATAATGTTTTATTTTAAATTAATTTTTTTATTAAATAATTATTATTTACTTTGCTCTATGCTTCGATATCTCGATAATTTCAACAAACTTCGCTTCGCGGTTAGTCAGAAACATGTCGCGATAAATTGCAAAGTGTATTCTTTCGTATTTGTCCGTAATAGTTACGTAATAGTTACGTTTAAAAGTAAATTGTGTGCGCGATGAATTATTGAAAGTGTATCGTAAAGTGTCCGTAAATAACATGTGCGATTGCTATCGTATATCAATATCATGATTCGATACGGGAATAGGTACGGGATAATGCGGATAACCTATATTATTTCAGTCAAAAGTATTAAGAGAAACGTTATTCAAAATATTTTTAGGGAATTTGATTAAAGATTATTTTGGGACATCCGCGTGCAATAAGTTAATAAGAAAAGAGCAAGTCATTTATTCGTGTTGTCAAGGATTTGTTGAATAAATCGCAAACTTTAATATTGTAAAATCTTAAAACTTGAACCGCAGGATTGTTGAATATGATACGTACTATATACGATATTAAATGACGAGCAAAGTGACGAAACAAAGGCAAACAATCTGTTGTTAATATTTTTTAATCTTTTTTTTATATATTCTGTAGTAGTTTACTATTTTAATTATTTCTTATATTTATTAAAATATGTGAAATTTTATTTTATAGAACAATGGATTTGTTTGTTTTATTTGCATTTTTGTACTTATTTTTTTTATTTCAAAGACTGAATGTTATTTTATATTTGGCGCCAAGGTGCAAAGTGCAGTCCCAGTGTAAAACAACATTGCACTGCAATGTGATTGGTCCATTATTTAAACTGCTTAAAATCGTATATTTCGCGCCTTTCACGGTCACTCGTAAAAAGTCGCGCATGGCGGATCGCGGAGTGAATTTCAATCGTTCGGTATTTCTCGCGGTTTTTATCGAGTAAAAGTGAATCTCGTGCGCTAACAGTTATCGGACGTGTTGTGTATAGTGTTCGTGGTACCGTAGACGTTGTATGCAATTGCCATCAATCACTAATATCAATATTTGAGACTGGACAATCTGCTTGTGTGTGTGTGTGTCGAATGGATGAAAATCATCTTCACATATTTCAACCCATTTTTTCGTTGATGTGTAGCGGAATGTAATAGATGCATGATCATCATTAGGTATGTACATCACCGGATATACCAAGTTATTTTGTATATTAAATAATGACTAAGATTAATTTACGTTATGTCGACCGCTTTTGATATTTTAATATTTCAATTTTTAATACTTTATTATTATCTTGGCTCATTGTTTCGAACATTTCACTACGTCAGAAAACGTTTTTATATATTATTTATATGTTACTAATCATTACTGCTATCAGTTTGTACCGTCACACAATATTCTTTTATTTATTTTTTACACTACTTTTATCGAATAATATTTTAATAATTAGTATATGTATTTATATATCAGTGTTGATATATCAATTACATTGAGCTTATTGTTAGATTTTCTAACAATAAATACTTGAGCTCATCGAGCTCACTTGATAATTACAAAACTTTACCGACAACTTTATTATTATTCGGTAAAATAGAGCGCGGTAAAAATGTGATACCAAATCTGCAACAGTGTTATACATAACCTAAAAATTGGTGACCGCTGTCATGGCTGGTAGTTACAAAAATTTCATGAAATTATTGGAATCGTGGCCATTAGACAGAAGCAAAGCTGGCAAGTAAGTACATTACAAAATAATGTGCATATATATTATTTTTAATTCTACATTATTTAATGATTGGTGTTTATTTCTGAAAATATAAGTTAGGTTAGTATGCTTTTCTTTATTGTTGATATATTTTTATTGGTGAACAAAATATAATATTTAGCACATTATTATTGTGTATGACATACTTAAATTCCTGTGTGTGGCTTTCAGAGATTTGGGACAACATATTCGTGATCAAGTGAAGATTGCATTTGCAAAGGGCGACGCAGCTAGTCAACCAGATCTCGAACAGTGTAACCGGTACTATTCAAGTTTAAAGAGAATTTCATCAAATCATTACGGACAGATTTATAAACGTTCTTTGTTAAGCACAGCAAGCGGATTAAACAGAGAGCAATGTAACTTGGCGTTAACTCCAGAAATGTTAGATTATTTGCAAAAAGAAGATAAGAATATATTTAAAAGGTTTTATGACAAGATCAAATATACTATAAAACATGATTAGAATTACATTCACACACTTTGTAAATAAGTTTGTTAAAAAGAAATGTTTTAGTAGTGAAACATGTGCATTATTGGCAAGCATTAACTTGTCATGTTCTGCTAATGTGAGAAGATATAGTTTAAAATACGATGTTTGCACTAATGAAAATTTTCACGTACCGGTTATGGCACAGGAAGTATTGGCACATATGAATCCATCACCAGGCGAGACATATATAGACATGACATTTGGTGCTGGTGGACACACCATTAAACTTTTAGAACATACACCGGATATAAAGATATTTGCATTAGATAGAGATCCTGCAGCACACGAATTTGCTAAACAGTTATCACAGAAATATCCAGGGAAAATAATTCCTTTGCTAGGTAGATTTTCGGAATTACCACAGTTACTTCAACAACACAATGTTGAGAAAAATAGCATAGATGGCTTTCTGTTCGATTTTGGTTGCTCATCAATGCAATTTGATGTGGCAAATAGAGGTTTCTCCTTATCCAAAAATGGACCGTTAGATATGAGGATGGATGGATTTCGGTATCCAGAACAGCCTACTGCCGCGGACGTATTAGAGAGAGCAACAGAGGAAGATCTGGCTCGTATCATAAAATATTATGGGGAGGAGAAGCGTGCTAAGAAAATCGCACGCGCTATTGTCGAGGCTAGATATAGATTTAGAAAATTAGAGACTACGAAGGAACTGGCTCAGCTAATCGAGTCCGCTTTAGATGGTGAAATCAGAAGGGACAGTCTTGGTAGATTTTCGCACAGCGCCACAAAAACATTTCAAGCACTTAGGATTTTTGTCAATAACGAATTAAACGAAATTAATTACGCTGTACTTCTTGCGTCAATATACTTGAAACTGTCCGGTCGTTTAATAACGATTTCTTTTCACTCGCTCGAAGATATTGTAATTAAGAGACATCTCTCTGGAAACATAATAGATAATATGGCTAATACCATAGCGTTAAAGTATGCGAGTCGTGGTAAAGTTTTTGATAAGAACGAATGCGAACAGTTAACACAATCGTCGTGGAAAATGATGCATAAGCATGTTCTCACACCTACAGCTGAGGAAATCGAAAGAAACCCGAGATCACGATCGGCGAAACTCCGTGCTATTGTTAAAGTAAAATAAATATTTTTTTACATATGAGAACATGTTTATACGTTTCTGTCAATATACAACTACATTGAGATTGTGTAATGATGATATATGTACAATGTATTTATTTTAACAGAATATATTGTCAACACGCATATTTGTATATAAGTAGTAAGAAATATACTTGTTGAAACTTGTAAAAAAACATTTATTGATAATTATATATTGGTATATAAATTGCTAATTTATTAATACATCACATATTGTAGAAATGTTTTTATCGTTAGAAACACAATTATCCCGTTTAAAACAAACCTTCTATTTCACCTGTTTCGCTATTCCAATCCATATCATAAATACTCGGTCTAGTTGAAAGTCCAGGCATCATCATAATCTGAAATATATAATGAGATAGTTAATAGATAATTTTTTGATTTAACAATTGAGAAATGTAAGAATCATTGTACTTACTTCTCCCACTATGGGAATAACGAATCCGGCGCCGACGGAAACGAATATGTCGTTAATATCGAGAGTGAAATCGGTTGGTGCACCTTTGATAGATGGATTTCCAGTTAATGAATTCGATGTTTTTGCCATACATATTGGGAATTTGTTGTATCCTAATTTGTTGTAATTTTCGATCTTTTGCTGCACCTGTAACAGATATCAAACTTTTATATTCTTTTCGGTGGAAAAATTTAATTTTTTAATGATATATCGTATATTTGATAAAAAATGCAGTATACAAAGTATCAATTTTTTAAAATATAACATTTAAATTTTTTTGTGAGAAGTATAATTATTTCATTGAAAAAAATTCGTGTAATTGTTAATATGGATATTAATGATTATATTAATAAAACTAATCTCCTTGTATTGGAGAATATATAGTTTTAGAAATTCTGAAAAATAAATATCGATCAATTTTATAGAATTAATGTAAAATTTGTCTACCTTTTCCGCAAGGACGACTTGACCTGCGCCATACAATTCTTTGGCTATTTTATTGATTTTTTCCTCGATGCTGTCCTCGAGATTGTATAAGAGCTTGAAATTACTAGGTTTCTCAGTGGCAGCTATCACTGCATCTGCAAGTGCTGTGGCACCAGCACCACCGTCGGCCCAATGAGTACATATCACTGCATCAGCGGCACCGCTATCCAACGCTGCTTGTCTAACGAGATCTAGCTCTGCTTGGGTATCGGTGCTGAAAGAATAATGCCACTTTATGTTCGTAATCTGCAGTCGAGTGCATTAATTAAATTAATTTTGTACTAATTCTATTTCGTTATAAAATTTACGTCAACATATTCATTAGTTATTCTTTCACTAGAAATAGAAGAAATATATAAATGATTTAAATTGTCACTTTTAAGAGATTTATTTAAAGATGATTGAAGAAAAATTTACTTGTGAGAGTTGATGGCGACAATTACGGGCACGTCATATTTCAGACCATTGCTGATGTGCTTCTGCAGATTTGGCAGGCCTTTTCTAACGAGTTCGATATTCTCTTCGAGATATTCTTTCTTAAGAGGTGCTCCAGTTGTCACCGGCGGCCCGCCGCCGTGCATCTTCAATGCTCTGATAGTCGCCACGAGTACGACAGCGTGTGGTATGTGTCCCGAGGTACGACACTTGATGTCGAAGAACTTTTCCATACCGATATCCGATCCGAATCCGGCTTCCGTTACTACAATACCTTCCGGTCCGACCAATTTTAGAGCAATTGCATCTGCGATAATAGATGAACATCCGTGGGCTATATTCGCGAATGGTCCAGTGTGTACCATTACTGGTGTGCCCTCCAATGATTGCATAAGTGTCGGTTCTATGGCATCTTTCAACAGAATCGCCATTGCGCCTGTCATGCCCTGAGGATTAACAGATATTTAGACAAGCGACAAATTGTTTTCGTTATATAAACCCCGTTACGCGAGCAGTATCTCTAATTAATCGTATTCTACATTATGAAAATGACACTGACGCGACATGATTTAACAAAATGGATAATGAATAATAGCTATTTTTTCTTGTCGATGATGAATAATGACATAGAAACACTTTAAATAATTCTACGCGTGATAAATTTTACAATTATACTAACAAAGTCGTCAGCAGTTAAAGGCTCGCCACTTTTGCTAAATCCGACAACGATGTTACTAAGCCGCGTCTTCATATCCTCGATACTGGTCGACAAAGCCAGGATTGCCATTATTTCGGAACCGACGGAAATGCAGAACGACGTTTCTCTCGTCTTGCCTTTCTCGGTTGAGCTCTGACCGATGGTGATCTTCCGCAAGAATCGGTCGTTAATATCCACCACTGTAGCAAAAGATGTTTTTATAAATGCAATGTTTTATTGCAATGGATATATTGTTTATAAATATTTATGCCGTACCTCGTGTCCATGTGATGTTCGCCGGATCAACGTCCAATCTTGCGAATCGACGTTGCTCTTCCTGCGTCAACGCATTCGGATCAGTTTTAGCGATACCAAGTTTCTGCAATCGTCTCAGTTGTATTTTCGAGAACTGTCTAACGCCCTTGATAGTCGGTACCAGGCGATCGTACAGGGCTTTATCAGGTTGAGTTGACTCGTGGAAGTATCGTGCGTCGATTTGCGCCGCTAGAAGATTATTCGCGGCGCTGACAGCGTGAATATCGCCGGTCAGGTGAAGATTGAACTCCTCCATAGGAATCACCTATAATAAAATCGAGTTAGGTCATTGTAGTCGATGAACAACGGCTACGAAAAGTATCGATATTATTCGAGAAAGTTCCTTCGTCCTACCTGCGAATATCCTCCTCCGGCAGCTCCTCCTTTAACGCCGAATGTAGGTCCTTGACTAGGTTGTCTCAGGGTGACGAAGGAATTTTTACCTTTGTGCGCCGTTAGCGCTTGCACCAAGCCCAGCGAAGTTGTGCTTTTTCCCTCGCCGAACGGCGTCGGCGTGATACCCGCTACTACGACGAGCTTTCCATTCTGTTGATTCTTCAGTCGTTGCAACACGTTGGGACCGATCTTGGCTTTTGTGCTACCGTAAGGGCTAAACTCGTTCGGCGTTAATCCAATCTCGTCGGCTAATGTAGCAATCAGTTTCGGTTCTTGACTCCTGGATATGTCGATGTCGCTCGGTACAGGTTTCACAGGAGATATTTTAAGTATTCGAAGATCCCATTGAGTGCTCAGTAGCTTCTGCGCCGACCTTTGCGCGGATATCACGGTGTTTTTCATCAACATCGCTACTGTCATCGGGCCAACGCCGCCCGGTACTGGAGTGATGTATGAAGCTACCTTGGCAGCGTCTTCGTACTCTACGTCGCCCACTAGACGATATCCACTTTTCTTCGTCGGATCTGAAATTTCCTTAACGTTAGTAGTGTTGCTTTTTGTGAATTCTTTAAATATATGTTTTATATTTTCACGTTTTTGCTATATGCAGAAAATTTATAATACTTTTACAAGAGAAACACCAGGCATGGCTCCCTTCGATTTCACCAAGTCTGATATATATTATAGTCCTCCCACGAATTCATAATAAAATAATATAATTTAATTTAATTAAACAAAATAATGCAATTTCTTAAGCATTCGCGAGAAAAACGCGTTTAAAAATTTACGGTCTACGTATGTTTTTCACTTTTTACACGTGGTATGCTCTGAACGCTAGCTCTTGCTCGTCACGAATGAACCCAACGGTCTAAATACTATTCAAACAACCCCAGTGTCACACAAAAAAAACTCAGGTAGCGTGCGTATAAGTTTAGACAATGACAGATACCCTTATCAAAAAGGGAACCTTTTCTTTAGTCGATATTCGTTGCTGATATAAGAATAAAAATCGTGGCAAAAGAAATAATTAAAAATTTGTTTATTGACTCGGCGAAATCGGAGGGGGCCATGTCTGATGTTTTCCTTGTTAGTTTATTATATAATTTGTGTACAGTACGAAATTATATAAATACTTTTCTTAACAAAAAAACTAGCATGTCAAAAATATTTCTAAGTTGATACGCTTACAAATCTTTCAATTTAGTAAACTATATGCAAATAAAACGTAATTGAGATTTTAATAAATAAAATTAAAAATTGAGAATATTTTTTTATATTTTAATTTTTGAAAAATTATTATTAATTTTTTAAACAACAAATTTTTTCTATTTCAAAAAATCACAGTTAAGAATTGAAATATCACTTATACCTTGCGCCCTCGATAGCGTCTCTTTCCTGAACTGTGCACACAGTTTACACAAAACTTTGACGTTTTTCTTTGCAAGAAACTTGATAACAGCGCGCTGCGTACGGTACTCGATACTAATTATTCGAATATCATAACAATTATAAAGTTATCACCACGAGGCTACGACTATGCAGGGCGCGAGTAGATATCCCTACCTTTCATTCATTATAAACACATTATAAACCTATTAGCGTTGATTTGTATTTACACAAAAAAAGTCTCATTTATATTTGAACCGCCCTCGTAATATCTACTTGATAAATTATTATACGTGCATTGCTTTATTTGATAAACACTCTACGTACTCGGATTGTTAGAAACTAACGCGTTGTGCGTGACGCACGTACTCGAACGCGACTAGATTTAAACTAAAAAAATTAGGGAGGCTGTTTTCTATATCTTTTTCGTTGAGTCTTTCGACATCTATGATGCATGAATAAAATTTATCTTCTGTCGTAAGAGGAAGAAAAGGGGCTAATAAGCAAGAATCCGATAACAAACGTTACGATAAGCATTATGCAAGCGTATACTGACGCGTTCACAGTTCATGCCTGAATGTCATTTACATGTTCAAAATAATATTTATTGATTTATATTTTTTTAAAGTCTTATAGTAGTAATGTAGATAAATATTCCACTTCTTTTCTAAATTCTGCAATGTATTCACATTTTTTAATTTTAGATTTTTATTGTCTTGATATAAATCGATGGACTAAAGGTGTTAAAATTTTACGTAGAAAATGAATAATATATCGAAAAATTTAGTAATCACAAAACGAAGTTACATACCTGGTATGGAATTAATGCCGCAATCGATGACAACGGCACCTGGTTTAATCCAATCACCTTTAACAAATTTGGGTTGCCCTATGCCCACCACTAAAATATCAGCTTGACGTACCTGTAATAAAATTTTTTTTAATGGTGCAAGTTTTAATTAGCATTATTTTTTATATTTTATTTTATGAGATGTAAAAAATCATAAATTTGAATGATTGCTTACAACATGAGGGAGATTTTTCGTTTTTGAGTGACAAACTGTTACGGTAGCATTCTGCCATTTTAATAATTCAGCTGCGGGAGTGCCGACAATCTTGCTTCTTCCTAAAACAACAGCTTGAGCGCCAGCAATAGGTACGCCGCTCCTAAAAATTGTTTTCTCAATTTAGTTTAACATTATTGCGTAATAAAAAAGAGCTTTCTGTATTGTTCAATATCAAAACAAATTATTGATAAAACAGCGCACCTTTTAATTAACTCGATACAACCGTTTGGAGTGCATGGTAAAAATCCAGACGTGTCACCGATTGCAGTTCGACCTTCATTAATAGTATTTAATCTGCAATTAAATTAGTTTATAACTGTATTTATTATGTTTTGCAACAAGTCTTTTAATATTTGATAGGAAAAAGATTTTTGAAATTTTGTTATAACGTAATTATTGCAAATTATTTATAAATCTTTGCATCAGAATATATTTTTGACCGTTTATATGTTCCTATCAATTCACGGCATGTCAAAGGGCACATTATTACTGTTTTTCTGTTGCTTATCGCCAATCAATGCGTCACGAAATGCGTCTTCTTCGATATTTCACACTTTCGTAATACTAATATCGTACTTTCGTAATACTCATCAAGAAAAAATTTGGAAAAAATTTTTACGTTATATTAAAATTTAAATTACGCTAGTGCAGATAGTCATTTATGCGGAATACAAAATTACGTTTTGCTCAAAACAGTAAATTAATAAATAAATTATAAAGTAGATGTTAATAATCATAAATATTATTAACGATTAAAAAATCGATATTATTAATTGAAGTTATGTTCGATAATAAATCATAATTTTAGACATTTTATAATATCTGTTCTTATGAGCTACATAATATTTCTCAAAAAAAACAATAAGTTGTAGTAGAAGTAGAATTTTAGGTCACGAAATTTAGACTCGAAACAAAAATAATGATAAAAAAATTAAGAGTATCATCTTATATAATATACAATGTATATATTTGTTTACCCATCGACGTCTTTCTCCGGTGATACTAGATCGGTGATCAAGTTTGAATTGATTTTATGGATACTGTCGAGCGGCATTTGTACAATAATTCCATGGACTCCTGGATCCTTATTCAGTTTATTGATTTTGTTGATAAGATCGATTTCTGTCGTGGTGTTAGGAAGTTGAACATGTTGGACGTTGACTCCTATCTCGCGGGCCGCATTCATTTTCATCTTAATGTAGACATTCGAGTCTTCTCGCGCACCCACTTGGACGATAGCCAAGCCGGGTGCAAAATCGGGTAATTTCTCTTTTAAAGCATTTACATCTCTGACTAAGCCCTGACGGATTTCTCTATAAAATTTCATTGAATGCACACTTGTAAATAATTGTTTATTAATATATTTTTATGTTATTCCATTTATTATTTATTTGATAATTTGTTTTGAAAATTAGCTGTAATTGTTTACGATTAGTTAATATAAAAAAATTATTTAAACGCGTAAATTAATTAATTGCGGGTGAATTAACGTTTTTCAGACATTCGACATTTAAATTTCGCGCGATTTCTTAATATACAATGACAATTATCTTCTAAATATAGGCTATAAAACATTATCACGTTTTATCACATTTAACTTACAATTCAACATTTCTTTCGCGTTTATATTGTAACATTATTTAATTGTACAAATACACCTGTTTGCATATTTTGACATGCCTAACCTAATAAAGTAGAAACACGTGTATTTTAATTACATATATATATATATATATAATATTGTAACACCATATATAGACATTTATAAGACAGAATTCTCGACATTGACGATTGTACGGAATAAAAGAATGTCACTCACCTTGCCACTTCAGTTCCAGATAATATAACTCCCCTTACGTCCGTAGACATGGCTCTATTTAGAAATCTGGATAAATTTTAAAAATTTATGTAACTTTGGAGCAGATTCCTAGATCGAAACTAATTTTTCCTCAGTTAACACTTTCCTTTACACGCACGAATTGATAAAGTTACTAGTAAACATATGAGCCTGCTCTTTGTTGAGTGACTGATGCTGACCGAGTGAATCTATTTAGTGTTTCCGACCGGTTCACAAGTGGTTCTCGGCTTTGCATAGGGTGTCCCAAAAATATTATTCTAATATTAATTTGAATGAATCCAGATTAAATCCTATACGATGAAAATTCAGCTTTCCTTTTTTTATACTCTGATATATATATAATTTTACTATAAGAACAGTTATACTATATTATTCATAAATATAACTGTTTTTAAAGAAACGGCTAATATAAATTAAATTAGTTATATATGAATTTTTTACATAAACTTACACTTTAAAAAATTAATCTTTAAGATATATAATTTGTAACTGCAAGTAAAATGTTTGATAAGAAAGAATCGCAAGTATTATTTGAGTAGATTATAGAGTGTACTGATATACATTTTTTTTGAGACACCTTATGTGCATATTATCGTATTTATCGTAGAGTCGGGTTATATAACGTCACGCACACTGGTGATACAAACGACGACGCTTTATGTACACACAATATAGAGAACACGCACGAAGTAAAATTACTGTCACCAATATAATCGAAATATTCCCGTTTTTAATTCTGTATCACTGAGCTTTATATCGATTCAGTGGTTCTCATATTATCGTAATATGTTCTAAAATCGGTTTGAAGATTTATATGTTCTAAATTATCTACAAAACTTTTTCTTTGTAATTTTGTATTGCGAGATGTTTACCCATACAGCACAAAACATCCTCAGGATATCCTCAGGACATCGAGAATATTTCGGTGTCCCAAAGATTCTGAGGACATCGAGATCTCCCCAAGATGTCCCAAGGATATGTAGGATATTTTGTGCTGTATGGGTATCTATTACAAAAGTGACCAAAATTTTTATTGTGTTTTTAATTAGAAAAAAGTAATTGTTTTATTTAGAAAAAAGTAATTGTTTTGAAATTGTTTTAATTTGAAAAAAGTAACGTAGCTTAATATAAAATTTTTGATATATTGACTAATTTTTTGATGAATTAAATAATACAAGTTTAATAATTAATGTTGATCTTACTTGAGAGCGCTCGATATTCGTAGCATGAAACGATTTGACGTAAGAACTCGATAACGATAACTCAGTTTTGCACAGTTTTCGCCGACAAATGCATCTTTGCTGGGGTGCAAAGAATAATATTTCAAAATATCAAGTATGTTTGCCAGCAATGACGAAAATTAGTGCGATAAACTTTGACGCGTCTTACAATCTATCTTATATGTATTTCTAATTAACTTAAACAATATTATCTTCTTAGTCTCACAAAAAATTATCAGTAAAATATAGGAATAACAAATGTAATTAATCTACTGCAAATTTTTTAAAATAAATAGAACAAGCATAAAAATATAAAAATTAAAATTAAACATCAGAAAATAAAAAATAAGAAATTATTAATAAATAATTTTTCTTTTAAATTGAGGATTTAATTAAGATTGTTTATCGCAGCATTTTACGGGAAAAGTAATATAATTAAGGAACGGTAAATGAAATTTATATTTAGTCAAATAAATTCTGAATCGCGGTTTAATAACAATGCAAAGAGAATTTGTTAAAATTTAGTCGGTATATCAGCTGTTAATCAGAGTCCGGATATTATCGTTTTCGTCTGCTCGCACTGGTGATTGGCGATTTGTAATTGTAATATCGTTAGGTCGCGGTTTCGACCAGCCATTGTGCAGTCTCGTTATTCGAGGTCAGAACAATCGCTGAAGATTAGTAAGATTAACTAAGATCTCCCCTCTTCCGTTTAGATTGTCTCGTTGCTGAAAGACCGTTTGAGGAGGGATTTCGTGATACTTGGGCAAATGTGTGTTTGAATATAAGCTCATTCTTTGAATATGGCGGAATAATTTTGTTTTTTGGTAAATATGCATTTTAGGTCATCGATTTTGTTGCCCTTATGTTGTAGGGGGGGAGGGGGGATTATTCTGAGTAATTTCCTGCAAAAAATAAGTGGGAAACGGTTTAGGAAATATAATAAATTAAAGTTTCACAATTTTAATACTCCACTTTAGGTGTTATAAACTGATATTACGAACAGTGAAATTTGTGTATGTCGTACTAATCTGTTGAAGCTACATAGTCATAGATATTTTGTCAACAGTCCGCTTTACCTATTTCTCGCGATTCGTTAACAGCTTTCAACGTGCGATTACACGAATTTCTAAGTCTTGCTGAGGACAGCAATAAGTTAATAGATTTTTTTATTAATTGAAAAGTTATTCAGGGATACATTAAATGTCCACGGTAAGATGTGATCTAAAATGCATATTTACCTGTTTTTTTAAATATAAGTTTTTTCTCTCACATCTAATTTTTTCTTTTCATGACATAAATTAGACTATTATTTTCATCATTCTAAAAATTGATCGATATTAATATTGCGCTACTTTAATTTTGTATTTTATATGTTACAGGTTAATTTATGGACAACTCTGCTGCTGCGAGAAAAGGATCATGCTGGTGAGTCAATCTTATTTGTTTTAATATCTAAGATATAAAATTTAAAAATACAAATATATATATCCAAGTTATCGAAACCGTGTCTCGGCACATTTCATATTCCTTTGAAACATATCGGAATTGCTCCAAGTTCTGAATGATCTCCTGAAGGACCTTTAGTAGCTTTGCGCCTTGCGGGGCCTTCCGTTCGTAACTTAAGCTTAATTAATTCTAAGTCGAGCGGCTAGATCACGTGGAAATTGGCGGTTTATGCGAAATTGTCGGATCGATGCCAGCAATCGGCATCCATAATTGCCCGACGCCAGTTTGGCGTAGAACTTCATAATCTAGCAGCCCCGCCTTCGAGGAAATCCCATGGGTGCTTGTCGTCTTTGCTGGTTGGATGCGGGATCTTCCCCCTTCTCTCCCTTTTTCTCTTATCGTGTCACCCTTTCGCCTACACCCTTGTTCTTCCTAACCCTTCTCGTCGACTCAGTCTCGATTTAGGAATTTCGCCCGCGGCGATTTCGCGCGAAATCAATAGCATGTCACGAGAGATGCCTTTCAAATTTAGCTGATTTTTTTCTGTACTTTAAAATATTTCACCGGCTAAACGCGACCTTCGAATATTTTTTTATGTTAACGTTGATGATGAAATGACGGTTTCGGATGAATTTGAAAGTAGAATCATTCATGCAGATGGTCCAGCTGCTAGTAAGCTGACCGGTTTGAAAAGAAAGCTAGAATTAAAACCGGACTCTTAGCAAATCTTCGTAACACATATAATAATAAAACGGTTCTTCTATTGTGCTTCCCGATTCTATTGGCATTGTTAAAAATTATTTGAATATTTTAAAATAATATTTTTACATGAAGAAAATTGTTTAGTGAACTTAGAACATACAGGAAGATTTTTGCAATCTTGTCATAAATTTTACGGATTATTATTTTACATTTTGAAAAGTTCTAATATTATATATAAGTATAAGAATTTTAAAAGTATTAAAGTATAGTATATTGCATACATAAAAAAAATAGTTTTTTATTTTAGAAATATTTTAGAATACAACGAATTCACATTGCTTTTTATTATTTATGTGTGCAAATTTTACAAGGCTAATATAGCATCGAAGAATTTCAGTTTTCTGTCATGTTAGTTTGAGCTTCTTCGTCGATAATATATACATCGCGAAATCTTCGGCGCGGCTATATCGAGCGATGGGGTTTTCTACGTGAAGGGGCGAGTTCGTAGCTTCGTCGCGGCATAGGTACGTACAGATTCCAACTTCTGCGGATAGTTGGGCTTAAGGGTTCCAGGGAGAAACTAGCCTTGGGGTGACTGGGGGCTACGGATGATCGGGGCTGAAGCAAATCGTCGGGATGGGGCGGCGAGGGGGAACGGCAGAGGCCCAAGGTGTAGGGTGGAAGGTCGCTGCAGATCTCGGGGAGCGTAACAACTCGGACCGCAAATTCCTTTACGGTGTTCAGTGTGCGGCGCATTCGTAGTTAGAAGCAAGGAAACCGGCTCGTTTTCGCTAATAGGGCGCGTCCAACTTCGCGCCAAGCACCCCGCGCCGATGATACTTCGAAGAGCGTGTTGTCCCAATTCTCTGCTACGCTTTCGAGATTTCCGTTTCGGGATTTCTACGTTTACCGCGCCGTCGGACACGCAAAGCTTCGCAGGGATCGCTTGCGGGCGCTACACGTTGTTGGTCCACTTCGATCGCGAGTTTCGCTCGTCAAATGCGTTTATATTGCCGGCTATATCGTTTCTTCTTGGCTTTAGGTTTTAAGTGAATTGCTACGAAGCATTTGTTATTTTCCAAGGTTAACGTTTGTCTTTGAATTTCATTCCGAGCCGTCAACTCTTTCGCTATTAATATTCTTAATATGCAATATACAAATGCAGTCAAATTTTTTATTTTTTTCTTATTTACCTCTTGCTGACTTTATATTTGCGTAACTATGTGTCAGAATGAAAAAGAATGCGTGAAAGACAAAAGATACATACGATTTTTAATATTAAACAAAAAAAGCATAATCTTTAGGATGTATCAATTGCATTGCATGTATTTTTTGCTTTTCACTTATTTTTTTCATGTGGTTACATCGCGATTATCTAGTCAGACAAATATAAAATGGTTGAAAGATAGCGAAGATCAATGCATCTGCAAACTATAACTTTTTAATCGACTTATATAAATTTTTATATACATCAAAAAGTTAATATTTGTGAACGAAATTGTTATTGAATGCGCTGTAATTATATCTCAAAGGGATAATAAATGTCGAGAGGCTTATTCGATACGCTTATCAAATTTTGATACGATCGCGTAATTTGGTCGCTCTACAGGTGAGATTCGTGACGTGTTTTCCATCAGGTATCCTTAGCGGGGTGCTAGTGGAAATTAATGACCAGTCGCCACTCCCTCGCATCTAGGCGATATCACGAGGAGAGAAAGTGGGAGAGAGACGGAGCGTTACCGGATTGGACGCGACCGGCAATAAATAGATGATTGAACGCAGTCCCGACGTCAGACGGCGGAAGGGATATGAAATTAATACAAGTCCTGCAGGCCTACCCTGCAAGGCGTTTATATCTTCGCGTAGGTATTTCTGGCATCCTTAAGCTCCTCGAGCGGAAGGACCCTTCGATGCGAATATCAAGGAAATTAGAGACGTTAGTAGGCAGGCCCGAATTATCGACGCTTCGCCGAACAGTCGTACGGCACGGTCATCGGCATTTCGTGATTCGTCCCGGCGACCATTATACCTATCCGCGATCCCTGTACGCTCTCGCAAGGCGTAAATACCGCAACGTATGTGGTCTTTACGCTCTGTCTGATTGCGACGTTCGGACAAAGACGATCACGGAAAAGTAGGATCACGACGTGAACTCGCCGCGGCGAACAATGAATTATTTCACTCGCGAAAACTGCACTAAAGCGAATTAACTGAAACGTCGCGAAATATTGCTCGTCGTTTCGTAATCCGGTGCTGCGCCACGACTCGCATGCGACCGCGAATCCTTACTTTTCCCGGAACGCAGTAAAATCTATGGCGAAAGTTCGAAGGTTCTCTATGAGATTGAAAACGCATCGGGCATACGCAGTCTGAGCTATCGGAAGTTTATATGGGATAACTTTGCGGTACACTCACGAAATGGGATTGACATTATCGTTCCGAGTTTGACTACTCATGCTGATTGGGTGCAGAAAATCGATAGCCGCGTAATAGATTTGACATTAAATTGAAAGTATAATTTTATAAATTGCACAAACGAGCGACAGGCATAACGCACATTTTATTCGAAAGTTCGATTTTATTTGTTTTAGTAATCATTATAATATTTTAATGTATTGTAGGATATAGATATTTTATTCTCAAATACCGTTTAGTATTTTTATTCGATTTAAATACAATTTAAACGAGAAAAATAGGAGTTAAGTTTATAGTAATAATATTTGATAATGTAATGTGTAGAGATTGATAGCAAAGCAATTAGAAATCGTTTAATATCGCATGTGTTTTTATTATAAAAATTATGATTACTTATATTATATATCGGACTGATAGAAAAGTAATTTGTTTTTTATATTTTAAACTTATGCAAGTAATTTAAAATTTTTAAATAATCGACATTTATTCTTTCTACCATTTCTTGGAATATTAGCCATAAATTTTTTCTCGTTACTTTAAGGCCATTGACAGTCTGCCAGAACGGGTGTTATTAACTTAAAATTGCCAAAATAAAATTTCTTAAATTGAAATTGACACGTTTTGTTTCCGTGAAACTTTGAAACACTTGACAAATATTTTTCGGACAAGTTGTTGCGTTTACATTTTGAATTCTAATTTTGAAAAATTTTAAAATTACTTTTCCACCAATTCAATATATTAAAAAATTACTTACTCGATATATTGTTTAGTAACTTCAATCTCGTTTCAAATAGCGTTTTATTTTCACGTATGGGGCAACGCATGGCTCTTATAGAATCACCGCAATGTACGCAGGCAAATGATATTAAAGAAACTTGCGTCTTAGTAACGTAGGCACCGATTGATCGTTACGATGGTCGAGAGTGGTTCGGTCAATAGTTGGGAATTTCGAGGGTACCCTAACTGTGTTCAGGGCAGGGGCAAGAAAGATAACTTTGTAGAGAGGGTAAGACGTGGCTTTGCTGGGGGTTGATTGGGTGACCCCTCACCGCCCCTGCTGGCCAGGCATCGCTCGCCCTCCATCCAGCATCTCGCTTTCTCTATGATGAAAGCGATTTCACCCCTTCCGTAGGCTTTGTAGAAAAATATGGCCGGCCAAACACAATTTGAAGGGGTTCGAACACTTCGATCTAACGGTCGAACGACGAATAAAGAGGGCCATCTTGGGCAACTTTACGAAAGATTCCAAATATTTCGTAGTACAGAATGTTTGTTACGTAACACAATATCTTAATAACTTACAATAATCTTGTGATATTTGATAAAAAATATTTAATAGTATTAATATTGTAACATCTTGGGCTCACAGAATATAAAAAAAGCTGTAGAATTGAATCTGTATTCTATATGTGAAACACAGATAAATGATTGTAATGACGTCACTAATTTTATACGATTCGATCATCATCCAATTATGCGACATAAAAAAGCTTTTGTCGAACTGATGATTCCAGCAATCTTCTTATTGACAGGGATGGGTAATGAACAAAAAGTGTGGCATTAAACCAAACAGTGGTCGCGGTTCGAACAAAGAGGATAAGGAGGTCAGAGAGTTATCGTTAAGAGAAGATTGATTTTCCATTTCATCAGCTTTAGGAATATCGCAAACAAACATCTCGTTTAAGGAAAATAAGGTTTTGATGCGAGTCAGAAATTAGGCAAAATTTTCTGCAAAAGTATCATGATTAAGAATCACGACTGGATTGCTTCATTATTTCTGTTTGTTTGCAAGATTGCAAGATTGCAAAATAATAAAATTATAAAAAAATTGTATTAATTCGTCAATTTAATGAAACAAGTAA